CACATTTTTATAAATTATTTATATTCTACGTTACTTATTTCGTTCTTGTCATTTATGATCGATCTAAGTATGTAGTTTGTCGTCAATATTAATGGAAATGGTCAGACATTTTTATATTACCTGTTGAAAAATAAAGCGATGTACCACTTACCTTAAAGCGTGTCACCCGATGTGTGGTGTGTTGTTCAAGTCAGCCCAGACGTAACACGAGACTAACCATACGAAACGGTCACTTATTATACCCGATATACGCTACGTCCACTGCAAACCGATCAAAAAACACTGACACACCCTCATCGTTGGCATCCCGGCTTGTAAATTTGAAATTCGCGATAGGGATAAAATAGGTCAGTATGTATATTTTTTATTCGCTTCACATTTAGATAATTTAAAATATTAAGTAATAAAAACCAATGTTGTAAAAAAAATAATATCGATCGTTTATCCGGTCAATCGCGATGCAAATTTTTTCTCATCGATAAGTTTTCTTAAAATTGACTGTTGGAAGAAAAACATTTTCAGTGCTTGTCGAGTTCATTAAACGAGTAGAAGAAATCTGTAAATCGCGTCAGATTGGTAACGCAGGATTTGTCTCACCAATGCATGGTACAAATAGTTGTATCACAGACCGGGTGTCTGTGCTTTTATTACAAATAACATAAAATTATCAATTTCTTTATACGATTAAATATGATTACAGGGTTTTTGTTTCTATTATTATTATTCAACCATTCATTGATTTCGATTTAATATACAATTATAAAAACAGAAACATATTTAAATTTTATATTTGACCGTGGCGTGTCTACACGTATTCACAATAATTTACTTATCAATTCGCCTAACGCGATTGTTAATGACAGTTGTAATGACATATTACGAACTTATAAAAATCAACCATAGTTTCCTTCGTTTACAAAAAAATATGCGTACAATGCAATAGAGTACATCTTTTTCTTGATTATTTATTAAGTTACAAAAATTATGCGAATATTCTAAAGTGAAGGGAGAAATTCATACGGGAGTCATACTCTTTTAAGTTCTCTTCTTTGTTTTCTTCGCAGTTTTCGCGGCCTTGGTACCTCTCGTGGGCGTGCTTTTCTTTCTCGTCGGTTTCTCTGCCATCTTCGCGTATTTATCGATCAGAGAATCGAAGAACTTGTCGGACTGACCCGCGCGAGCTTGATTTCGTTTTTGTATCGCTAACGTCAAATCGTTCGCGGCTGCGTTTTCTTCGTTTTCGATTTTCAGCATCTTTTCCAAGCGTTCGGCTTCCTCTGCTTCTTTCGCCCACTGTAAAATATCAAACATACTCGCTGGTGAAACATGATTAATACGAATATACGAAGCGTGGTTAATTGAGAAATATTTTCACTCTTCAACTCCTATCCCTCGCTATGGCGTTGTTTCAATTTTTCTCTTCTGATAACTTGAATTAATTACAACTTGCTCGTGTCACACTTGACCTAAATTAATAAGAAGCTGAGAGCAGCAATAGAGATAGGATCGAGAGATCGGTAAATCAGCGGCTACGCAGCTAGTTCCTGCATGCTCATTAACGAACATAATTACGACCACTTCAACGACACGCATAATCCTATTTTCGAAGTTAGCCATATGTATCCTCGAGATTATCGAACGGTTGCTCGTCAGCGAGCGAAGGTTAATTTTAACAGTGGCTCATCAAAAGTGAAAGATAATAAAAAGCTCCCATTCCTACGATCCAGCTCCAGAGGAACCGCCTCCGTTTCTATTTTCTACGCTCGCGAAAATCGCGTGTTCGACAGGGGAAGCGCGTGATGTTTCGGTCAATTATGTATTTGCTCGGAACGTTGTTTCAAGCGGTACTTTCAACAGAGGAAATTAGAGGTATTAGTCAGAGTCGAAAATTAGAAGTCAAAATCGAAGCAGCTAAGACACAAGGGATTTTAGAGACATGAGTAGCTTAAATCTAGTGATGTGATTTCTTTGAATAAGAAATGGAGGATAGGATTAATATAGAAATAGAGGATCAAAGGATAGTTATAAATATTGAAGCGATAACTCAGTCAATGGAATCATGTCGATCTGACATGCTATGATATTTCTTCAAAAACTGTTTACGTGAATAAATTCTTTTTGCAAAATCGAATAAATTTTTGACGGACAACTGTCGATAAATATTATTAATTCTAGCCAAAATTTCCTTTATAAACTTAACGGGAGAGCCTAGTGAATATTTTTGTTGTTTACTCAAACGAGATAGACCCATATAAATAACGACTTTCGTGGAATCGTTGAAGCTTACGGCTTACGCATCCATCCCTCATAAGAAACAGATGCGTGTAGTTCTTCAGATTTGTCGATGATGTTCCATATTCCCAGTGACCTACTCCATAATTCGACGCTGAGGAAATTCCGTTATTTATAAATTTCTGGCAAGTACATCAGCCGTGCGGCCTAATGTTAGGCGATTACACAACGGCTCGCGAAATTCTGAATGCACCGATTATCGGAACGACATTCGACTTGGGACCCGATGAAAGAATGCCAACCTGCTGTTTCCGCTTTTCCTTCAACAAAGACTTGCTCTATTTATGCATCACTGCCTAAACATCTTTCACCACTATTATCCGAATTAGATTTTCACCATTTAACAATTCACTTTAGTTACACATAAATCTGTACACGAACACTGAATTTTTAAAGCTTCAACTTCTTCCAGTATGAGCTTGGAACTTATCGTTATTGCATTATACAATCGGGGTATGTTGCCTTCATTCTAGCAGATATAAATCTCTTCTAAACGCGACGCCTTGAATCTTGGAATATTTATTTCGGTTGTGTTGACATCATTGTTATTTTCATAAACAAGTACATAGCAAACGTAATTGTTATATAACAATATAGAGCTTCTCGTTTACTGAATAATATTTTTAAACACTATTTGAGAATGTGGAATTTTTAATATTCTTTTTTAAAATAAAACTGAATTTTCTTTATACGAAGCATTCTACAGGAACAGGAAGTGGTCTGTGTTATTATCTCGAATTTCTCTGGTGCATTTTGCGATCGTAAATGGTCTGTGTTATATTCGCATAAGTATTCAAGCACTGCATGATTCAAACGTCAAACGGCAAAGGAACTATTATTATTACTGACTGTAATCGAAGTGCAGATCACGACGTGCCAATGCCACTTCAACCAGGCATCAGATTAGTACTGCACTTGCATCTGGTATGCACTTGCACATGTAATTTGTCAACCAGAACTGATCTCTGATTCAGTTATCAAGAAATTAAGAATTAAATTAAATCAAAATATATAAAATATACACATGAACATGTATAAAATATCCAAATAAGCTCCATTTGATGTCTTCTGTATATGTAAAATTTAATGAACCGTTATCTGTATAAAATCATAAAACAGCATGATTGTTAAAATAATATTTCATCCAATAATTAAGCTACCATTATTAAAACATAAAAATATTATTAATAAACATTACTATAACTTACTTTGGTGCATTTCTTTAATTGCAATCGTGATTACGTTATTCGATTACAATTTCTCCAAACAAAATAAATAAAGGTTTAACGGTTCTTAAAACAATTTGGCTTTGCATCATCGATAGCCTCTGGCCGGCTATTTGCGAATCCGAGGCGTGCCAAAATACCCTCGCTGAGTGCACACAAGTGCATCGGAGGGAGCCGCTTCCGCAACCTTGAATTACCTCGTCTCCGAGTGTCTAGAGCGAACGACACATCTGGCCGCGAGCCCGAAGCTCCGGAAATCATCGGAATCACGAAATAATTGAAAATAGTCAACGGGTTCGAGGCAGCCTGGTTGCGTAACGAAAGCGGATTCCCTTCGCCGCCAGTCATCGTTGTGGAATTTCGTGGGAATTAACCCTGGAAACACCATGACCTAGGGTCATCAGTGCTTCTTGTTTAGCGACGTGTTGATGTCAACCACGCATTCATTTTTTTACACATTATTGCTCCACGCAATTTTTATCCGTGACATTTCTGAACAGCCCATATTTTCACAACACGATATGATTCACTGTTTTAATCGAAGAGAATTGCTACGACAAACAAACGAATCCCGTTCGTAAATTACCGGATATTTAGAAATTCGGAATAAAATATTTATTGAACTAAGCTTTCGGTAAAAAAAAAGAAATAACATTCATACAACTTGTATGCATTGAAATGAAAAGTGTCTAACAGGAGTTTAGGCAGAATCATGAAAAATTAAGCTATGACATGATCGTACAAAAATATACAGAAGCTTAATTGTACTGTTACACGCTAATTCGCGTTTTGTATCGGCGCGGTCAAGTTTCACGGAGTTATATAAAGTGCTTTTCCACGCATTCGAAATGCACGTGTGCGCACGTGTTCAGATCAGAGATATTCAATTCACAATGGACCCCTTGAAACGATGTTCTTCTCGACTTCCGACAAGGCCACCCAACGCTCAGAGGCATGGGTGCGCCTTGATCTATCAACGCGAATGCACCTGTCGCGTCCCGACTAATAAAATACGCGAACAGACTTCTGATGAATCAGTGCTTAAAGGAATCGTTCTCCAAATTTAAACGATCCGAGCTCCTTCAAAGTCCACCCGAAACAATTAATGCGAAATCACAAGTTCACTTTAATTGAACAGCGTTTGAATACCAAACTATCTTTCTAAATTAAGACAATTGCTTTAATCAACGAAAGTGAACCGTGCATTATCATCTTTAATCACACGAATTTACATAATGTTTGAGAAGATGAAAACTCGGTTTGATCAAACACTTTGATTACAGAATCAAAAGCAAAGCGATTAGTGTCAATTGTCATTCAAGCGAAGCGGTCAATCAAAATCAAACGGTAATTAACACTACTCCTAGAGATTCCAATCCGTCGAATCAACCAACCTACATCTGACCAGTGCATTTTTTGTTTTCGCTTCGACTTCGATAAAAATATGGAGAAATGTACGAGGAGAAAAAATTATCCGTACCTCGGGTATATTAAAATTTCTATTCTACTGGCAGAGGTCGGAGAATTTCTGACTCGCTCTCGTACATTGTTGTTCAACTGGACATGAATGGGAAACGCGACGAGCTTACGCGGCTATATACGACTCGATCAGGACTCCCTGAAAAAGCGCGAAACGCAGTACATTCATATCTCGATCAAACGCACTGGTCAAGGTCGTTACATAACGCACTCGGCATTAGATTGGACGACGACATTAGTAATTATTTCATTAGCACACCGGATACATTGCATTGGCCCTCGCCGCTCGTTACTCTTTCAATTGATATTCAGCATTGCGCCGTCGCGGAAATCGTATTTGGCGTTCCTCCTTGGCAAACACTGACGCGTGCAGGATTTATCAACAAATAATTTATGAGTTACTGTAATACATGAGCCATGTACATACACTATGGATTCCGCAGGCTCTGCAGTGTTTCTGAAGAATCGATCGTTAGGTAGATTCTTGCAATCAAGTTCATAAGTCGACGTAGAAAAGAAAACAAAGAAATCGAACTGCACTTCGATCATCTAGAATCCGCGATTAAATAGCACGATAAACAGCGTTCTATTGAATTCTATTCATGTTCACCCGCACAGGTTCCCGCATAATTTATTTCATTGTCCGAGATTCGTGAAATATTCAATTATTGACTCGGTATTAGACGAGAGTGAAACTTTTAGCTAAAATCCCTCCACAAAGACGTGACGCGTGACCACCAGGAGAATCGAGACGACGATCGTGGTCAAAGAGCTTCGTATTGACGATGATAAATTTGTAGGCGGGCAATTCGGCAATGGCTTGTCGGTGGTCGTTTCGATTGACACGATACTCGGAGTTCCTTCTTCCTGTTGTCGCTGATTGACCATCGACGGCGGTGCGTGCACAGTGACCGGGTGCTCGTAGTAAGGGGGTTGGAACACGTTGTCAGGTGACGCGGGGTGGACAATCACCGGGGGTAAAGGGCGAACATTGTGATTTACTTCGATCGGATCCACTGACGGGATGCTGTGCTTCCGTGTTCCGTCGTCGAACTGAGGATCTCCGTTCGGTGGATATTGTACGTTTGATGGATTTCTTTCCGACCAGTCGGTACCATGACCTGTGGTCTGTTCCACGAGTTCCACGTAGGGCGATGACGTCTGGCGATCACCTGGGCCGGGTGCCAGCGAAAACGAGTTAGGCGGGCTGAAATAATCGGGTTGGTCGGTGTACTGTTTGTCCTGATTTCTATGGGGCGGGTATTCGGGCCAAACACTGCTGGGTTCCACGAAGTTCGGCCAAGATCTCCAGGTCGTTGTATCCTGGCTACCGTGTTGCATCATTTCTGGTGGTTGCGTTGCGTCGACTGGTGTGATGGTCGGAGGAGCATAAGGTCTTCTTGTATAGTCGTACGCTGAATCATCATAGCGAACTGTCGATGTTCTCGTAGCCATTCTCGAATCTTGTGTACTGTACATTGGGCGATAGACCACTTCTTCGGTTGTGAACAACCTTGATGGGGGGTAGGACGCTGTCGGTGCCGCAGCAGGAGTGGACGTGGGGTGTAGCCTTTCACGGTAAGGGGGTAGCGACGTCGTCCATTCATCCGTGATGGATCCATCGTAATAATCGTAGTCTTCGTGTGGAATTGGTGGAATTGGAACGCTAATTAAATCAGTCGATTGTCTGCTCCATTCTGGATCCTTTTCGAAACTGATACCACGATTCTCCAGGAAAGTTGTAATAGCGTTAGGACATTTAAACTCGGAATTCTCACTGAGAAACATCCTCTTCAGTTCTTTCAGCTGTGCCAAGGCAACAAGATTCAAGCATTCTAAACGATTGCCAGATAATCTCATATCGACTAAATTGGGTAGATTCCTGAATACCCCATCTTCAATTGATTCTATGTTGTTATAATTCAGATCTAAGTACGTTAACGAATCTAAACCCCTAAACGACGACTCTTTCACGGTAGTCAAATGGTTATTGTCTAAACTCAAATGCTGAAGATTATCGAACTGTTGAAAAGATCCTGGTTCGATGTCAATTATACTGCAATGAGTGCAACCCAAGACCCAAAGGTCGGAACCGAACATCGAAAATGTGTCCGGAGTTATTCGTTGGATGGGCATGTTGTAGATTCGAATTTTTCCAGTTGACGGTGGTAAATCGCTCAGATCGGAAAGTTGACCGCCCTCACAAGAGTATTCTACCAAGTCGTCGTTTTTAACGTGATTACACACCCCTTGCACACCGCCGACACTTGCGCACAAAACGGAGAACAGAAACAGTCCAATAGTGGTACCCATCTTAAGCGATCGATTATATGCTCTTCGCCGATCAATCGATTAAAAATTTCGCGTTATATTATGTAAATTCTATGTTATGTTTCACGTACAAAGTATACGTATCATTATCTTTCACGCGTACGTTCGCACAGCTCAATGGTTCGCGGTCATTGTGGTAGGGATTTTAGCCGAAAATTCTGCAGCATCTAGCTCTGAGCTAGAACCTATCTAATTGTTCTGTAGACTGAATCCTCTCTTGCGTTCCCTCTTTACTTATTTACTAGTATTCCCCCTCCCGGTCATACTACTAGTCCACCTCCTACTGCTACTTCCAATCATGAAGCCGTTACTATGTATTGATAAAAATAGAAAGACTTGAAAATAGCGCGCTGCTCACTTGTTCATCAGATCACCGAGGTGATCTACAGTGGGATCAATGGGTGGGATATAAGCTCAGATTTGACGAGCACGTTGCCACTTGAACACACACTGGCTTCTTTCGGCACGTTTGACATCGGTAATGTTACACGACAAGAGGAGGAAAGGAAAGGAAAAAACGTATAACAAGGAACATGTACCACTTCACATTTTACCAACTGAAGGATCAAAAATCAGTTCGCCTTGTCGAAAAATGCAGTTCGACAAGAGATCTATTCATATGTTAGTGTGCAACTGAACTACAGCTTTAATATGCACTTGTGTCATCAGTTTTTAATCATGCCAAGTGATTATAGCTTTCTCGAAGCATTTTATTCCATACCACAACAGATTGTTAACTACTTTCCACTTACCTTGCGTTTTCTGCGTTGCTTCTTCTTCTCATCCTCCTCTGTGAATGCCTTGTACTCAGGTACCTCATTTTTCTCGATCAGATCTCGAATAATACTGTGTATCCTTGGTTCATCGTCGCAATCAGTAAAGGGGACACTTTCCAGAATGTAATCCATATCTCCTTTGCCTGAACACAAATATTTACGTACATGTAAGAACCAGCTCAATAACTACGAGATTAACAATATTCTAATATATTATTTAAACTGTACGTACTGTCCACATAAGCACGCTTCAAGTCCTTAATTTCAATTTCAGATCCTTTGTATTTCTTTTCATAATTGTTGATATCCTCTACAGAGATTTTCTTAAACAGGGTCTTCCAATAATCGGCCCAGTTTCTCATCATAACTTCTTCACTTTCTTCGTCATATTCACCGGATTGGTCATAAATTTTACGCTTTTCACTATCACTGAGAATAGAATGAATTCGTCCAAGGACTTTAAATTTCTCTGTTGCTTCTGCTTTGATGCTTTCTTCAACACGATCGGGATGTACAAGTAAAGATAACTGATGATATGCTTTTTTCACTGAAAAAGATAGGAGGACCATATGTAGTAGGAAATAAAACAACAATAAAATATTTAATGTTTAATTCGTCTAATTCTACAATTTGAATTCGTATTTACAGGTTAGATTTTACGTACCTTGTTTATCATTGGCAGTTCGTGGTATTTTCAAAACTTCATAGAAATCGCGAGCACCGAAATACTGTTCACAAAGATCCAATAAACTTGTCATGACTTCAATTTTGTATTAAACGTTAACGGGGTTTATTAAAAAGTACGACAAATGACAGAACTGCACGGTTATATGCTTTCGCGCTTATTTTCACTCAAACGTCATGCAGAAGGCGACATCACGTTTGAGAACCACCTAACTATCACTACTAACTACTATGATAAAGCGCCGGAAATTACGATTTGAAAACAGTTGATATTATCATTGTAATAATGTTTCTTTATTACGTCACGACTGATAGTACGCTGGTAGTAAATTGGAAATAGCTTTATTATAGCTTTGAAAGCTGATAGTAAGCTGGAAATTAGCAAGTGCTGTGAAAATGAAACACGCAAGGTATTTTCATTATTTAATATTATATTTGCCGTTTATGTATATTTGTTGGTAGTAAATTAAAATTGTATATTCATATGTCACACATAAAATATGAGTTCATTTATTTCTTTACTTGATTTCAAAAATAAATCTGATCTAGTTCCTCAAGATGATTTCCTCTTATTAATATACATTCATAAATTATACTTCCCTTATATTCTTTTCTCCGAAAATTGTTTAAGCTCGTATATTACATGGGACATCGAATAGAATAATTGTTCAACCATTTTTGATTCAAATATTCCGTAGCGATATGATATTTTCAAAGAAGAATAAAAATCTGTGTTTTGGGTTTTAATATAATATTTGTATTAAAAAGAAATTATATAACATGGATTTAGTGCTCCCCAACACAACAAATAAGACAATGAACCCAACGTCGGTTTACAATTTTATTAATAATGAAGCTAATCGATCTAAAGTCGAAATACTCATTTCTTGCAATACTACAATTCCAGAATTTTGCTCCGGTATACGTATTTTAATATTAATTAATTACAATATTCGCATGCATGATTCACATGAAAAATAGATTTCACTTGTGTTTTATATCACCAGTGCATTTGCACATACTTTTAAACGTACGGACGATTATTAAAATCATTTCATTTCAATCGATAGACTAATTTCTCATTCTGATAGACATAGCATTTGACTATATATAACAATTCCAAAGAAGTAACATGCACGATCTAAATGAATGATAAATGTAATGATTGTAAGATGTGCAGAAGATCGAGAGCTTCATTTATTTCTGTTCTGCGTACCAATCGAGAATCTCTTTACTCTAACGTACATCTAAGTTTGAACATAATTACATATTTTGCGTTTGTTCTCATTAATAATCTTACAACAGTGATTTGTGTTACCTTAAAGAGCAATTATATACATTAATTCATGTTATAAATATAAGTTATTATACATTTATACCTATATGTTTCGTTATGTAGTACATGTTTTGAGCAGCTTTCATGCGACAGACCGTGGAATGATGGTATTCCATTTTCATTAGACATCTTTTTGCATCAAAAGATAAAATAATTCTACGAAGGCATTTTAGTAATTTCATTGATTTAAAATACGCCAATTAATTATAGTAACAGACAATTCCTATTGAAATCGACGGGCCGAAAATACGGTTTTCAAATGAGTGGAAGAATTAAGACCAATACGATCTTCTTTGGCAGATATTCTTCGCACGTTTTAAACATTAAATTATGCTGTTAATTAGTATTGGCACCCACGCGATTGTTGCTCCTCGTTGTAAGCTAAATGTACTCGTATATTCGTAGTTGTCATTTTTTGACATGTATCGTAACGTCGAATTTAAAAGAAAGAAGAGAATTTGAAGTCTCATTACTACATGAATTATTTATTTTACAATACACAATACCCAATTAGTTGAACTCAAAATACTGTCATGGAAAGTGTTTCGCATTTGTTCGTTGTATAAGTCCCGTCGAGAAATAGTATACAAGTTCTACCAGAGAACAATCGAGCACAGAGTTACCAATTCTAATACGTACGTAACTACTCCTATGCGTCATTTTATTTACACTTATGATTGGCTAACGACAATATCGATAAAAATCAGGTAATATGTGCACTATAGAGCGAAGTGAACGTTATCGTTCATCTCTTTACATTCTCTTAAATGTTGTGTCTTTCTTTTCTGCAAGATGTACCTGGGCACTTGTAGAGCGACTTTTCGCTTTTTAAATACACTGTAATTCATTAACATCCTAAAATCCGAACAAGGCATCGGTCCCGTAATCACGATGTCGGTCGTTTCTCGATATTGCCTTGTGGACAATCAACAACATGATTAATATACCTTTTCCGTCGCGTTACATACGAAACTTTTCGAAATTGTAATTTCCCGTTAATATCTTTTTCTCAGCAAAATCAACTATCATAAACGTCTATGTTACGGACATACAAGTTCAAGTATAGAATTGTAAGTACCATTAACAATAATTATCGAAGACGAGTTCACGAGTTTCGAGCGAATTAACAAGAATATCGTGACCGTCTCTTCGATTCTTCGATAGTATCTGAACACTTTGTCGTATCAAGGGCACGTTATGCTTATCTTGATGCAAATGTGTAATAATTGGCGCTTTTCGATGCCAACGTTCGTTCTTTGCGACTACTAGTTTCCTTCCCCAGACGTTTCGCCTTACGCTTTACTTTTGTCGTACACGCAATTCGTATCGTGATCGTCTCCGATCACTACTTCATGCGATTCAGTACCAAATCGCAGACGACTTGCAAGCCTTTTTGGTACGGGCTTTCGGCTAACGACTGTGCGAGTTTCACGGCTTCCACGCAATGCTTTCGCGCCAGGAATCTCGTCTGATCGAGGCCCTGCGATTTGTGCACCAGCTCGAACGCTTTCTCGGCGTCCCCTGGTTCTTGAAATCGGCGCATGATCATCGCGTTTAATTCTGGATACTGTAACGCAAAAATATAGAGAAGATTTTTATTTAATTTAATGCACGTGAATTATTTACTAAAGTCGAAGAAAAGATTGATTGCAAAACATTTTGTAACTCTTACCCGTTCGCAAGCAAAAAGAACTGGAGCAGTCGCGAGGCCCAGTTTCAAATCCGCTGCGGTCGGTTTGCCCATTGTTGGCAAAGATGATACAAAATCCAAAAGATCGTCGACTAATTGAAACGCTAAACCGACATTTCTTCCGTATTGGAAAGCTACTTCCGCTAGTTCATCATCGGCACCCGCTAGCATGGCCACCTATAATAAAAAAACGTATTTGCCGAGTTCGAAACACTTTAGGAACAAGATAAATAATTAAGAATAGAAATATCAGTTGGCTATTTACCGCCTTTGAGGCGTTGGCGATCAAACTGGCGGTCTTGTGGTATGTTTTCGTGAGGTAATGCGCGAATCTCTCGTTCTCCGTCTCCTTAGAGCCAAGCTGCATAAATTCACCCTGCACCAGGTCCGTCACGACCTGGAAAGCACCTGGACTTGTCAATACTTATCATCAGGATTATATCCAGATCCTAGAGCGCGTAGGTCTTACGCGCCCGCATAAATGTTAATAAAATCATTAATACGAGTCAGTATAAATGATAACAAAAATGTATCAAGTATTATGAATTAATCTCCTAAATTACTTTTACGTAAAAAAATCTTTACAAACAAATATCAATGATTGAAAAATTATGAATAGAATACCTCCAATTATGATTAAAATACTAAGTGAATAATTAATAGAAGGAAGTCTCCAAATAATTTTTTGATCTTTCCTTCTTTCAAGTTTCCACGATTTTGGAACTATTAGTTACAAATTACCACTAATTAAAAATTGGAAGTACTCTTTATTAAGGAATACTTTTAATTATATTACACGAATTTTACCTGACTAAGAGTAAGAGTGACGTCGTCGTTTCGTAGTTGAGCTATCATAACCGCCGCTACTGCCAAAATATAATCACCAGCCATCGTTACCTGGTAAGTGAATAGATAACAATAATTTATTATAAATATGTACATATAAAATTCGCTATTACGAAGTCCAAGCGAAATATTAATGATAGCTAATAGACAAAATGAAGGAGAAATCTATTCCTTAATTCACATCGTTACTAAGAATCGATTACGAAGAGATAAAACACACAGGCACGATTAAGATACGCGTTCCCTTTCACTGAAGATCTTTCGAAATAGAAACAGAAAAATTGGAGTGGCGAACGTACGATAAATTAAAGAATGATGATTCGTTACTTTGCCTCATTTCGTTATAACAATTTGCTCGATTTCTTCATTTGTTTTCTTCAAAGAGTACAAGACAAGCAGTGGAATCAGACGTGTTTGCACGTTAATTAACTTAATACGATAAAGATCTTCGCGTTCTGTTGATCTTATTCCAAGATCTGAATACTTTAACTTAGGAGTTTGTTAGAAAACTTTCTTTTACGCACAAACACAGTTCAGTCCAATATTAAGGTAAAAGCGTAAAATTCTTAAACGCATCGGAACGCGAATTTGTAATGGTAATTCTCTGGGAAGAAATGCTTGGAGGAAGCTCCTCGATTATTTAAGGTATCACCTACGAATTTTTCCACATGCTTTCCTATTCCGATTGGGAATAGATGTGAAATTAAATTTCTCGCACGCCGTTTGTACATTGTTAGAAAGTGACTGCGATGCAAATAGAAGAGAGACCAGGCTCGAGCACGCGTTAAATCATCGAATTGTAGAATAGATCGTCGCGACTACCGCATTCGATTTAGATTCATGCGCTTGCGGTTATTCTGGTGGACACGTTGCATGCGAGCATCGATGTACTGAAAGTCAACTTTCTTAATCACTCTGTTGAATCTACTTTACAAGTAGGAAACGTACGTTGTATTATATTCCAGGCGCGTTGATCCGTGCAGTTAACGGCTAATTGATGAGTATTTATATCTCGATAAGTAGGTAACCCAATACTTGTCGAAATTCATGGATTCCATTTTCGAGATCTATTCGGGGTTTGAATGTTCGCCGAATGTGACGAATGTTGAATATTTTAAATATGACGTCGTTTGAGTACACCTAAAATATTTAGTTCCGGCATAGTTAATGAGCACTCTTATCGGTTTCTTTCCCGGTTACGAAATATCAAGGTAAAAAAATGAAAGAAAGAAAAATTGATCATTTCGACGACTTTCGACTATGAAAACGCGTGCGTAATTATTATATAATCAACGCGTAACTATGTTAATCACAGAATTTCGCAATGCGATCAGATCATGCCGTATAATCAGAGATATCAGTTATGGTCGATTTCATATTGTAAAATTGTTGCTTTACTGCTGGAGCATTCAAAGACATCGTTACGATGATCTACAATTCAAATCGCATAGCCAGCTCGAACTATCTCGACTATTCGTATCTAAAACATTCTGACACTTTCACTACTTCATTTTCTCATTCAGTAAGCTTTAAGGAAACAATACTCCATTAGCGAAACTTCTAGTTCAAACGAATTCGCAAAAAGTTCGTTCACTATTTAAGAAGTTGAAACTCAGGTAATTTGAAGAGAATCGCGTCGCTGTCTCGCGTGACAATAGCTAGAGATAAACCCGTCGCGTTGTAATTTCGAGTTTCACATCCGGCACCATCGTCGGTTTCACGCGCGTCATCCGTGACAAAGATCGCGAGCTTTCCTTTCGAAAATGCCGTGTTTTCGCGGGTTTATTCGTCTGTTGCGAAAGAGTGGAAGTTTCGCAAGACGGGAATGAAGCGCATCGAGAGGGTGCAGCCCCAGATTTATGGGAAACCCTAGTGCGTCATTAAAACAGCAAGTATGAGAAATACGAAGCTAAATCCTAGTAAATAGCAGTAGGAATGTTGTTCGAACAGGTGACAAGTGACCAGATGTTCAAGTTAGCATCTTGGCTCATTCACGGCCTCGTTATCCGCGAGTAATCTGGCGATAACTATTATATATACATACGCAACACCTCTCCCAATTAGTATTACGTTAATATAGGCTATGCCAATGTTACACAATTCGTGAGCCCGATAACTCGTTCCAATCTTCGGGCTGGGAGGGTCTAGCGGCCACCTTGCCGACTTTCCATTTCTTTGTAACTCGCTAATTCGTTTCTCAAGGCCGTCACACTTTTCAAACCCTCTCGGCAAATCGTTTTGTACCGAACACATGTGTTTACAACGCGAGCGAATGTGCTCCGCGATTGTCCCAATTATGTAGTACTATTTATTACAAGGTGTAACGCGTGCTTGCTTATTACTCTCATTATGATTCCAATCCCTTGACGTTTCGTAACACTACATTTTACTTATAAATCATTTTATAATTATTAATCTAGAGCATATTTTCCTAGTTTTAAATCTCGACACGAAGGCTAATAGGAATATGAAAAAACGTGAAGTACGTAAACGAAGTCTGAAAATTTTATTAGTATAATTAATATCGACAGGTGATATTAAAATAATGAATAACAGTTTACATTTAGAATAATAGTTCAAGGATCAGTTTTTATTGCGCGTGCCACTAGCAATGACCCTAAGCGATTTCATATTTATGGGTTATTGTATGTTTCAAGAGAAAACATGTCACGCAGTGTAAAAAAGTGAAGATGACCTCCATATCTTATAGATGACGTCATGCCGCGGGAAAGGAGATTATCACCATATAATAACCAACATGCACAGTGTAACTTCCGTTCACCCTCGATTACGAGACTTGGAAAAAATTTTTTACGGCTATTAATGATTTATACGCTACATTACGCGTTTCTATCGACCGACAGGATCTTTGCTAGAATATTCTTTTCAGAATAACATACAAATCTAAAATGAAATGAAAATTTACGCTGATTCCATCGCGGAATGTGAATACAGATACATGCGCACCATCGACGTCTTCATCTTTTGCATGAATCGTATACACGTTGCTTAATCGACTACGTGCGAAAATTTATGTATTGTTAGTATAATAACAACTGGTTTTTAATAATTTAATTTTGTCATCGAACATCCCATTGAAATTTGTAATCAAACCGCGGGTAAAATTGAATGGTAGCAGCGATTGAAGCAAAGCATTTCGACACCCACTGTTCTAAATTGCACAAGCAGAAGTCAATAACGATTTCTGTGCAACTTCTCAACAATTTTCAACCTCCTTCTCCCTCTCTCTTCACACCTAAACCTTTTGCAACAACGCATACTTACGTTCGATATTACAGCCGCAAGTGGAATCTATATGCTTAGAACTTTTTAACTATCGAGTTTCGCTATGAAATTATGCGAGGTTTTCGTAAGGAAACCGTTGCAGGATAACGAAATCTAATTCTTCGCAATATGTTCGCATTTAAACAATTTAAAATTCGCGTCGGTTCAGTGTACTTGACATTTTCAATTCTCTTAGTCATTCTTGTTATTTCATCTCGCGTTGCTCAACACGAAACCTTTCTATCGTTCACATTCAACTTCATTCAACTTTTTCGTATCAAAAAGAATGCGTTTAAGGATTTATTGGCTATACAGTCAATCTCAAAGGTTTATGTACTTTAGAAAAACGCATTTCCTACCCTTACCCCTCTACTAGGGTGTACC